AGAGCAAAGAGGCCTGAAATAAATCTGTGTATTTGTAGTCAGTTGATTTGGGGCAACACGCCAAGAACACACAATGGGGAAAGGACAGTTTCTACAATAAACGATATTGAGACAACTGGATATCCACATGCAGAAGAATGAAATTAGACTCTTATCTCACATCATGTACAAACATCAACCCAAAATGGACTAAAAGCTTAGATGTTAAGACCTGAAACTGTAAAACTACAGTAAAAGAGAAAAACACAGGAAAAGTTCCAGAACACTACTTTAGGCAGTGCTTTTCTGGGAAATGATTCCAAAAGTACAGGCAACAAAATAAAAATAGGCAATTGGTTGGAATTAAGCTAAAAAGTTTCTGTACTACAAAGAAAACAATCAGCAGAGTAAAAAGATAATCCACAGAATGGGAATAAATATTTGCAAACCATGTATCTTCTAAAGGGTTAGTACCCAAAATATATGAGAAACTCAAGAGCAAGAAAACAAATAATGCAATTTAAAACAGACATTTCTGAGAAGAAGATACACAAATGACCAACACATATATGGAAAGATGCTCAACACCATTAATCATGAGCAAATGCAAATTAAAAGTACGAGATATTCCCTTAAACTTGGTAGGATGGCTATCATCACGAGGCCAAAGATGGGGAGAGAAATTCCTGCACACTATTAGCAGGGATATAACATTATGGAAAATGTTATAGAAGTTCCTCAAAAATAAAAAATAAAGCTACCATGTGATTGAGTAATCCCACTTCTGGGTGTTTATCCAAAAGAAATAAAATCAGTATGTCAGGGAAACATCTGCACTCTTATGTTTACTGCAGCATTATTCACATAGCTAAGATGTGGAAATAACCTAAGTATTCATCAACTGATGAATGGATAAAGAAAATATTTTATATATATATATATTTATATATATATATATATATAATTCAGACTTAAAAAAGACTACCAACATTTGCGACAACATGGATAAATCTGGAGGATACTATGCTAAATTAAATAAGCCAGGCTCAAAAAGACAAACACTGCAAGATCACACTTATATGTAGAATCTTAAAAAGTGGAAGTGAAGAATAGAATGTTAGTTATCACAGGTGTGCATAGGGTGGGGTTTGGACAGATGTTAGTCAAATAATGCAAATTTTCAGCTAGAGAATTGGAATAAGTTCAAGAGATGTACAACGTGATGACTGCAGTTAATGGCAATGTATTACAGTCTTGAAAATTTTTAAGAAAGTAGATTTTAAGTGTTTTCACGACAATGAATAAGTATGTGAGGGAATGCATATATTAATTACCTTGATTTAGCCATTTTCCAATATGTATATTTTTCTTTTCAGTTATTTTTTTCAATTTTTTTATTTTAAAGAGAAAAAAACAATTACAAAATAACCAAGACAAAAACAAAACAACCCAAAAAATAAAAATGATACAAAATTTCAAAACAAGATGATAGGAATTAACAATGGTTGTTATATTACACAGTGTTATCTTCAATGAAGATATTTTAAAACGGGGCTGGGGATTTAGCTCAGCGGCAAAAGCGCCTGCCTGGCAAGCGCAAGGTCGTGAGTTCAGTTCCTGGTACCGGAGAAAAACCAAAAAAAAATTTAAAAATAAAAAAATAAAAGTGAATTACTGTATCTGTGTTAAAAATAAGAACACTCGTTCATCAAAAGATACTATGAAGAGAGAGCAAAGGCAAACTGTGGAC